TAAGAAGCATTTCCCTATATTGTGTAGCAGAGTTCTTGATACTTCATATACACTTAATAAGAACTGTTTTCCTAATTGATTAAATGCCTTATATTCTCAAAATAAACTCTGGGTTTGAATAGTTAAATCTTTAAGAAATAGTTATGTGAAGATTAGAAACTAGAAGTCATTCCATCAACAAATATTAAATTACTAGCATTGTGCTTTGGCTATTGGGCATATAATGACAAATAAATATCAGGATTCTTGGGATTATGGACCTGACTATTTAGCAGGAAACATAGATGGTAAATAATTTGAGTATGGTGAGTCCTACTAAAGTAGCTATAGACTAGGTTTGTGCAAAAGCACTTAATAGGGCACTAGTAGTGGGGGGTGGGGGAATTAATGACAAGGGGAAGTTATTAAGGAAGTGATGTCTAAGATGAGAACTGAAGGATGAATAATACCAGGTAAAGAATGGTGAGAGTAAGGAAAGGTGCTCCAAGAAATAGCGTGACTGAAGTCTCAGGGGTAAGAAAGCATGTAGTTCCTTTAAAAAAAACTGGAGGAATTCCACATTGGCTAGAGTGAAGAACACAAGAGTGAGAGATGAGAGGCCAGACTGTGGAGGACCTTGTGAAACTTAATGGCAGTAGAAGACATGAAAGTGGATGACTTCATTAATTGGGTATGTTCAATAGATTATTCTGCTGTAGAAGAGAGTGAACTGCTGTAAGGAAAGAACAGAGGTAGAGAGATTAGTAAAGAAGGTATTATCATTGTCCAAAGAAATGATGAGGATGTAAGTTAGTATATTGGCAGTAGTAAGGGAGAAAAGAACTTTGAAATGATCTGGACAGATGTTATAGGGGACATGGAGGGATAAAGTTAAGACAGAGGCATCAAGGGTGGCCTAAGACCTCCAGATTAATTACCTCAGCAGTAGAGTAAATTTATTGAGATAGGAAGCATGGTGAAAGGAGCCAGTTTTGTTTCATTTCTTTTCTTCTTCTTTTTTTTTTGTTTTTTAAAGAAAGATGAATTCCATTTGAACACATTAATTTTAAGGTGCTTATAAACCATACAAGTGGAAATGTCAAGGGGGAAGTTGGAAATATGAGTTAGGGATACAGAAGTCAAGTCTAGCTTCAGTGAAAATTTGGGAGTCATCAGTATATTATTAGTATCTGAGCAGTAATTGCTGAGGGGAAGACGAAAAGTGGGCCTAGGCCTGAACCATTAGAAATACTCATGGAAGCCATAAGAAGCCAAGGGAGGAGAGAATTTGAGAAGGAACAAGTCAGGACTGTGAGATGTACTGTGTGGTAAAGCACTATAAGAATTGATAAAACTCATTGTATTTAGTGACATAATCATAGATGACTGTGGCAAAATGGGTGAAAACAAGCCAGATTTGTGGGACTAAAAACTGTGAGGAAATGGAGAAGATAGAGATAGTTTTCATGAAACTTGGATGGGAAGGGAAGAACAGTTTTAGGGGAGGAGGGGGTACCAAGGGATGGGTAGTAGTGGTTTTGTTTGAAATCATAAGCAAGTAGAGATGAACATGGTAATGGAAAAGAGTTAAGAGGGTGAAGTGGAAACAAAGATAAAAAGATGGGATGGAAAACCAGTGAATTTAGACCTTTGAGAAGGAAGAAGGTGGGGTCCAAGATATAGGTAGGGGATAGGGACTAGACTTAAATATTATGAGGCCACCTCTCTTTTGTTGCAGAAGGAAAAGATGACTGCTTTAGGTTTGTAGATAAGGTTGTTGGAGGTTGGAGGGAGTTTCTTTCTGATGGCTTCTAAATTCTCTGAAGCTGGAGATAGAAAATGAATGAGGGAATAAGGTGGCAGTGTGTGTGTGAGGATTGAGATAATCCTGGAGAATGGGAAAGTGAATTGGATAGGGAAACGAAGTAAGATCTATAGTGTTAAGGCCCTAGTTAAATACGATAAGCATGAAGGAAGAGGAGAGGCTGTCTACCTAAGTATACAGAATATGACATCTAAAGCCACTTAAGAAGCTGTTCTAATGTCATAATACTTAATATTTGGTGATTTTATTATTAATTATTAAAAGAGAACTTAGAAAAATTATGACTTGTTTGAATTTTAGAAATATTTTCCTTGTGATCCTTCCACTTGCTTTGGAATGTGTACTTATTATACTTTG